GATTACATCTCATGACACCCCCAGATACGCCCCTCACCCTTACGTTCACATCATTGCAAACCGGAGACATGTTATCTACAAACTCAAGCTCCTTTTGGTTCATTAAGGATCTCTCGGCACCAGTGTCAATCAACAGACTTATCGCCCGTCCGTTAATCTCACCAGAGACGGACGGGAGCTGGTGATTGTTAATCTTAGGCTCACTCGCCAGCTTAATCACCAATGCAGAGCCACCGGCCTGGCTGTCAAGATGGCTCCGTTCTAGTTTAAATTCGATGGACAATTAGCACATAAGTGGTCCTTACTCTTACAGATAAAACATTTCCTCACGCGGTCAGTCCCCAACCTTTGTCCATTTACATCCTGTTCTCTAGGTTTCAAAGACAATCCCTCGATTGCACGGGATAATTTTGACACAGTCTCTTCCAGACTGGCCAATCTGTTCGACAACTCTGCCACGTCGGTTAGGTCCCTTTCAGGCGGTTCCGTTTTACTAGGGGAGGGCACTACTACTCCACCTACGTGAATCTCCTTAAAACCGCATGTTTGCTCTATCTTATGGAGTTTCTCCGCTAACTCGACCGCATCGTCGAATGACTGAGGCTCACGTTCCAATAACTTCATCCTCAGACCGGGGATGAGCCCTTGAACGAATTGGCTACGGAGCATTTCACTCCTTAAAGCCGCCATATGAGGTTTCGTACAAATCATTTTTTCAAACGCGATACATAAACGGACTCTGTACTCACCGACCGTTTCCTCACCTCTCTGTCGTATATTGATGAATTCCTTTAAAGTATCTCCCTCACTTTGCTTAGGTTTATGAAAGCTGCTTATGAGAGAAGATTTTATCTGATTGTAGTCGTTGCCGTACACAGCACGTAGATCCATAACCAGGTTGAAAGGTTCGCCCTTCAACCTCGATTGTACCACCACTAATCGAGTCTTATTGTTCCATTCCGCAATCGCCGACACTTCCTCCAATATGTCGAAGAATTGCTTGATTGAAATATTATCAGTCTGTGATCCAGAAAACATCGGGATCATTCCTAAATACCCCGTGACGACTTGGGTTGCATTAACTATATCTTGTTGACTCTGCCGGGCCGCTGTACTCGACACCAATCTGTTGCCATTGTTCGAGTTCTCCGTGCTCGCCATCTCCATTATCACACGTGGTAATCCTGTCGCGGACGCCAATATGTGGGATCTACGAATATCTGTAGGATGATATTCGCAGAGATGAATAAAAAAGATTACCACGAAAGGAGGAGACGAGTACAATACAGAATCAAACAAAATTTATATACCAAAAATATATTCTAGATTACAACACAGGAAGTTGGTGTAGGCCTGGCACGTGGCGGTCAACACAAAGAGTCCACACAATACACTCATAGAACGCACCTTCCACTCGAACACCAAGGACCAGAATCGAATTGCTGGTTCCCTACCATATATATACCGCCCCCACTTACACCGTGCTGCCACACAAAAACCGCCCAAAAACAAACAAAAAAAATTTTTTTTTTTACAATACAATAACCACATCGGCAGTACACAAAAACTAATATATATATATATATATATATACATATACACAAAAAGGAAATAAGATCCGAAGCGAAAGAAAACAAAGTTTTTTTTTTTTTTTTTTTAAACATGACGAACATGATAACACCGACCGACAATATATATTAGCATGACACAAATAAAAGGATGAAAACTGTCATTCTGACAATTTTCATCCTTTTACAGCCAGAATTAGTGATGCTGAGCAGTCAACATTGCCATGAATTTGCAGTACAGGTTTTGGACAAAAAACTAGCACTAGTAAACTGGAACTATATACTAAACATAAAAATTCACACCTAAACACTAATTCCAGTAGTAATTTTTGGAACACAGCTGTATTTGACGGTTAGAAGTTTTCAAATGCTAGAACTGTTTTTTTTTTTTTTTTGTGTGTGTGTGTGTTTCATACAGTCCTGAGGAGGGCCTCTAAAAGATGGCCAAAAACGTTCAATATTAAAAACTTTTGTTCAATTACTGCTGGAATTAGCGTTTTGGTGTGAATTTTTGTGTTTAGTACAGGTTTTACCAGCATGTTATGCAATTGCTTAGATCTTTAGGCTGCAACAGCACCACATTTTCTATTGTCAACTTTTGAAACTGCAATTTTTTGTAGACTCCTTCCCATGTCTTTATTAGTTTCTCCACCAAATTTAGTACCATTCCAGTTGTTAGATCAAGCTACACAAGGCTCAGTTTAATTATGGCCACCGTATATGTTATAACTAATATAATGTGAATAAATACATGTAAATGATGATATATTTACAATAAAATAAATAAAGGTCAGAAAATATAGTATGTTCTACTTCATAATTTTTAAATGTGAAATAGAATCTGACAGAATAAAATTCTATCTTTCTTAAAATATGTGCTTAAAAGAACACAAACATTTGATGATAGTTATATTATCTTTTAGATTTTAAAATACTGGCATGAAACAGATTGCTGAATTTGAATATGATCGAATCTTTGATTTTGACTGATTTTTTTAGAAGGAATTATGTTGCTTAATAGTACAGTATCTAGTAGTAATTAATTATTACTAATACTTAGATAAGTAAGTATTAACTACTAATACAGTTAAACCTCTCTATGATGATATTTAACAGAACAAGAGAAAATGTATTGTTATAGTGAGCATTTTAAAGTATCCCCTTCCTCATTTAACAATGTCAGACTACAAATAGGCTTATTTTTACAAAGTTAGCCAATCTTAGTACAGAAAACCAGTATTATTAGTTATGTTGTAGAAATAATATGCATAAAATGTGCTAAATGTCAAACTCCAAAATTAGTCAGAACCTGAATCTTACTAGGGAAAAATGAACTAACTTTAAAATGTAGTTAAAATGTAGTTTTTTAAGGAGAATGCTCTTAATAAGAAGACATCCCTGTACACTTTTTATAAGAGAATTTTATGTTAAACTTGTTTAACAAAATAATGTTGCTGCAAAAATTATATGCAGATTTCTTAGTATTTCAAATTACACTAGTTCTAAAAGTAAGAAATCAGTCTGTAATGTCAACTACTGACTACAGATAATGTTCATGATAGAAGTGCTGTATTAAATATTAATATTTTAATTTCAAAAATGAGCAACAAACTAAAATTTACTTTACTGCATTATTATTATTGTAGTAGAGAAAGGAAAATGATGTATACTTTACAAGTACAGTAAAAACATGTATTGCTAAACAGATTTATCGCAGTATAGGATATCATTCAATTGGGAGAAGTGTTTATGTTAAACTAAAACAACTTACATAGCAAACTAACTGTATATCATTATATTGATGACTGACATGTGACTGTACTTACAAGTACTTAAGTATTAGTAACATAATTTCTTCTAAAAAGCAGGCAAGAATCAAAATATGGTGAAATCTGTTTCATGTTAGTATTTTAAATCTAAAATACATTTACATTGTCATCAAATTATTGTTCATTTAAGCATGTTATTTTAGATAAGTAAGATAAATGTTTTCTTTTTCAGATTATAACTATTAAGAAAACTTAGTGTTATTGATATTTTAATAGTGTAATTTTTCTCAGTGGAAAAAAGAGTTTTTTTATATATTCTTAAATGTACTCTGATTTTGCAATGAAATTCTCTCTCTATAATGAACTTTGGATCAAAAACTCTTAACTTTATATAATACCATCAATTAAATTAATTAAAAATCTACCTCACGTTAGTAGATTTTTAATTAATTTAATTATACCAAGGGCAAAAAGCAATTTCTTTATATTTATACCACACATCAAGTATGATAGGTAATGTAATATAAATGTGTAGTATATGAGTGAGTGTGTTCTGTAGAAATTTTATTTGAACATATAGAAAAACTCAAACATTTAGTTTAATATACTAAATTCCAAATATTCTAAATTAATGTCATTTCTTATACATTGCTAAAATAGTTCAAAGATTATCAGATTTGATATTTATAACAAAAATCTTAATTTGTTCATTATGCAATAAGGATAAACATAAATGGAAGACACTGTTTCAAATAGGAAGATCTTAATAAATTATTAAGATTAAAATGTTTTAGATCATCAACAAATAATGATTTTGATCCTGTCACTGCTAAAACCAACATCTAATCTATAAAACTTTAGAACTCTGTGCCTATATAAATAGAAATAATTCATAATTTTGAACATTATTTTCATGCAAATCTAAAAGAAGGAAAATGTGGAAAATAGCAAATGTTAAGTTAATTTGAAAACAAATACAGAATACTGTTCAATAAAGAATACTGAAGCAAATTTTTATCATTTGAAATTATTGATATATATAGAGATCGATTTGATCTACTTGAGTTCAAATTATTCACTTTAGAATGCTATCAATAAAAATAATTTTACACCATTACAATTAATTTAGAGTTATCTATTAAATCACATTCAAATCTTGTTACTACTATCCCTCTCCTGTCAGAAATTTGACATTGCAGGGAATGTTTAACTTTTTAATGGACATCTACAGTCTCTTTTGGTACCTGCAAGGCATCTGGCCTCATCCACAGGAATTCAACATATTCAGTTCAATTCACTCATGAAAATTTGAGCTATCCAGATTCAAAACTCAGTCATTTTGGGAGACCCAGGTTTATTATCATCTACTGCAGTTAGTTACTGTGTTACTAAATTAATAAGACAATTGTTTGAATGTTCAATAGTTAGTATCTTAATTTTTCTTGTATTATATGCATTTGATTGAATTATATATTTTAGTAAAGTACAATTTTATGCTATTGATTAAATAAAAATTTAACATGAATGTAAAATTTGTACATTTTATTTACAAGAATTAAGTTTTACAAATATTTTCAGTTTGCATTCAAAATTGAAAATAAATAATATTCTAAATCATAAATTTTAATAATATAATGCTTTTCTTTTCTATTTTTAATCCAAGGTATGTCAGAGAGAACTGAAAAAGTTAAAAGAGAAAGAAATGCGTCTGACGACAGACTTGTCTTTAGCGAGGAGAGAGATCGCTCGTCTTCACATTCAACTCGCAGAATTACATCCCTGTGTGGATCCCACAACAGTTTAATTAATCCGCAGCTTTTTCGTCAAGCTGTTAGTCCGCTATTATTGTGCGCCATTTTCATGTCGTTCATAAACTGTTTTGTTCTCATTTAAGATGACATGAAATGGTCTCGGAATTTTTGTGAACATCGTCTGAAGATATACTAAAGGAAGAATATTCCTGCCACCAAATTTTAGTTTTGGTAATACAAGCACATTAATTGTACAAAAAATTTCTTCAAAGAATACAAACAAATTGTTTATATATATAATGTAATTTAATAAAATGTCGGCAAAAGACCGCGGTTAACGGCAAGGTTAATAACTGCCTCGGTAGGTCGAAAAACTTTGAAATAAATTTGTACGGTTGCCGATCAGACCAAAGTTTCGTATGTATAGATAAAAAGAATAAAAACAAAGTAAATTCGGCAACCGAGACAAAATCATTCAGGGCAAATTTTTCTTTATTGGACAATGGTGAGATTATGCCAAAAAAAGTAACAAAAACAAATGATGCCTGTTTATTACATGAGTATGCATACCAAAGTTATTCAATGATAGCAGCTGTTAAAATTTGTGAAAAATAGTTTTATAGTATAAATATATAAAAAAAAATGATAAAAAAAAAGTTGCTGTATTTGGTGCTTTAGTGTATGACGTTCTGCACATCAGAAATGTTGGTAAACAAACCCGGTTGATCCTCAACTACAATCAATGTTATTTATTAAGCATTTAGAGAAACCGTTTAATGTATCATAACAAAAAAGAAATCTCTTAGAATCTATTTGGTTATCAGTAAAGAGTACCTGATAACGATATAGAATAACAAGAGAAATAAGACATTCCAAGTGAGATTGCATTTTCTGGTGCAAACTTGTTAGTGATTAATAAAGCTTGTCTACTATGTTTAGATGTCATTTTCATTTATTGTTTTGCAGTCTCTAAGAATTTAAATTTAAACATTCTTATTTAAGAGTTCAAAATGTTTCAAGATTTTTTTGGATTAAAATTTTCTTTTTGGTACTGCAACTCAAATCTGGAAAAATTCATTTTGAATTTCTTTTAGTTTAAAGTAAAAATATCTTTTAAATAAACAATGTCAGATGTTTAACATTGTGGTTACACTATATACTGTATTTATTTTCACAAAGTCTCTGATATTAAATTTGTTGACAGATTCAATATATAATATATACAATGGATAGGATGTGAATATGTTTTGGTAGTATACAGTACATGACCTGGCTTCCCAAATTTCCATTATACTAAAATGAGTTAGCATATGTTAAAAAGGATTTCTCTATTCCATTTTACAGTAGTTAAGATCTTACAATTTACAAGATTTCATCAGCTGACAGGACTGTTTTAATGATCATAAATTGTCAGCGTAGATGATTGGAAGGAGCCTGTTTATCATTTCTAACATAGAGATTTTCTGCAGCTTTACAGATTCCTGAAAGTCTGAACACTGTTCATTGGATGAGCTAGTGATGCACTTAGGATTTAATTTTGGGGGAGCGAGTTGACTAGATTAAAAATATTTTTAATACAAATTCAATAAAATTCCCATCTTATGTGACTACTAATTCATAAGTAGTATAGAAATAGAAGACATGACATAACCTAATTAAAATTCATCTTATTTATAAAACAGTTTGTTTGAAAATTTTTCTAGTGTTTTCTTTTTCGTTGCAGGGCCCTTGGCCTCCCCACCGAGATAAGCATTATAATGAGCAAAATTCAAAAATATATGATTTGTATAGATCATACTATAATAGATCTATACAAATCAGCGGATCTCAACGGGGCCATAGAACATTTTGGGAATGCCACAGAAAACTAAGAAATTGTAGTGCCATAAACACTGCCAGGAAAGCATACTAATTTACAAATGATTAAAAATTTTCTGTTTTGTCACATTTAAACTTCAATAACACGGACTGTATAGTTGGAATGGGTGGATCAAAACCATACCCCTATAAGACGCTATCAACTTAAATGAAAGTCGAGGAAAATTTAATTAAATATAGAAGCATATTGGAGAGACTACAGCGTATATATCCTCGGTAATTTGCAAAGTTTTTGATTGCTCGGCATTATTTGCACATCATTTAGAGCAGGGGTGGCAAACCTGTGGAACGTAAGGCGAAATCATCTGGCAGGTAACCAATCATACGATTTCGATTTATCATCTGTCTTCAACCGTCCTTTCGATTCTGTGATTTTTCTAATCGTATGTTGTGAAATAGGTCTAAAAATTTTTCCAAAACAGAGACTTGAAAAAACAAATTGATCAATAGTCAACCGAAAGTGACATTTTACCTAAAACCTTTTCTAATTTTAATATATGCAACCCATCATACTTGACCAAACGCATTCAAGTTTGATAAGTAAACACCCAACGATAAGTGAGTGTGGCGTATACCAAAAGTAGTCAAATTCGAACTTTACAGTGCGTTTATCACTAGCAATTTTCAAAGTCTCTTCAACATACCTCTTCATTTAATTCAATTTCCTTGATTTTTTTTAAGATTGTAGATGAAAGATTATAATCTAACATTTCCAGAACTGATTATACATTAAAAATTCCTCGGGCTGCACGCTCGGATTCTATCCGGGTCCTATCGAATCCCGTGCAAAACAAATGGAACATATCCACATCTTTTTACATTCTAAAATTTAACGCATATAGCTGTACTTTGCATACATAAATTGACCTAAAAATAACTTCTACCAATTTTCTTTCAAATGAAACTTTCGGTTGTTATTTTTCAAGCCTTCTGTGTGTAACAAACGAAACAGACTTGCTAATGTTATAACTTTCTGCCTACTCAGGTGAGGTAAAGATTGGGTCTCTGCGGATAATTGGTAAAAAAAAAAAAAAGTCGAATGAGTTAACCAAGAATGTCGCCTTTGTTATTCTTACTTATGCTGGACATTTTGACTAACAGCAAAACGTTCCTAAATCTTGATCGAAAACCGAAACAAATTTTTCGATAAGAAATAATGTAATATGGATTAATCCGTTTCCGACCTCAAAACAAAATCTTTTTTTTTTTACACTTTTAGCTGTATTTCGTGCATAAAAATTCCCACAAATGCAATATAATAATGTATATAACATTATATTATCATATCGCGGATTCGGATATATCGCGCTTTTTTTGGTCCCCAAATTTTAAAAGCACTCGAGTCAATAAATTTTAAATTCCCAATTTCCATTGAATTTTTTTTTTTTGCAACGAAATACGATATTTTATTCCTACAATTGTCCTGGAAACAATAAATTCGTCAAGATCTAAATAAGCAAAACAAGTGGACAGATCAATTATTTATTGTGACATCGTCACAATGCCGAGCTGCAACTTTTTTTGTTACAATGCTCTCAATTTTAGTGTCTTGACCCTATACATCATACTTTTCCTGTTAACAATAGAATCATGCCGGTCATCCATCTAACGTTGTTTTTGTGATTAATTAATTAAGGACAGACGGACACCAGTGGGAATTTATAAGTCTTTAATTTAAAGGTCTTCAAACCTTTAAATTCCCATTTTTATGATACTTCTATGCATTTAATTTTGTAATGTATGAATTTTATCCTGGCATGTTTTAATTATATACAGTATTTTTAATTGTAAAAAGTTTTTAATTAAAAGATGGAGCAGATCCTAGTATCTTTTCTTGTATGCTTCTGCATTCATATTATAATATTCCAAAAAACTCGCTAATTTTGAGAATGAAAACTTGTAAACAGCGATTTAAAAGTTTTATTCATCATAAAAATATACAGAAAAAGATATATTTTAGTTTTTAAAAATAGATTTAAATAAAAAATTTGTTTATTAATTAAAATAGGACTTTAATTATAGGAGGATTTTCAAATAATCTTTTCAACTATTCTGATGCGATTTTAATAAATAATTTATAAATTTTAATATAAAGATTCATTTTTTAAATGTGAGGAATTAAAAACGTAAAAACTAAATCCAAAGTAAATGAAATAATAATTTCTTTGTCACAAGTTTAAAAAATCCAGCGACGAGTTGCTTAACTTTCCCGGAAACTTTTAAAACTGCGTGTTTGGCGCCATTTCTTACGATATTTTATTTAAAAAACTTTTTATATTTTAATTATTATAAAATGGCAAAAAAACTTAACTTTGAGGAAGAGTGGGTTTTATAAAAAAATATTGTAAATGCTAATAAGTAATAACGAGTAAAATCGTCATTAAGTCTGACCCCACTCGAGATATGACACACGAAGACCTTTATTTCTTCACTACCTCGACCTTTAACCACCAAAATTTAACTGCATCGATTCCCCTAATATACAAATCTCCCTATAAAATTTCAGAAAATTTCGACAAAAAGCATAGGAGTTATTAAGCTTCAAAGTACGTGAACAAAATCGTATCTCCCGCACACACTAACATCCATAAATACAGGAAAAAACTTCATTTTTTTTTTTTTGCATTTCTTAACGTTTTAAGGTCTCCTGAGTTCAAAAATGTAAACATTTTGCGTGGTTTTATAATTTTTAAAATACCATCTCCTCTGCTAATTTCTTTTGCCCATTTTTAAGTCACTTTGAAAGTCGTGAAAACTTTTTTGAAAATATTTGATCACAAAACTGTTACAAACAGTGTAAATTTAAATAGACAATTTTTTCCGTGTAAATTCCGCGTCTTTTCACTTATTCCATATCAAAATAATAGTACTTTGAATTGTCGCCACGTCTGGCCTTTAATGCCCTCTACCGGAAAATTTCATAAGCTTTTATTTGCAGGCCGGATAGTTATCGTAGGCCGCGATCAGGAGCATACGTGTCAACGTATAAAAATTTTGCATTTGAATCCCCCGAGCGACAGGCTGGCATCTTTATTGCCTGAAACATTTAAAATTACTCTCTTTAGCTAAAAAATTTTCTATTATTTATGTCTAAATCAACCGTTTTACTCCTAACACGCCCCCTCACCGCCGACGCCATTTTTGAACGTTGTGGATAACACATTTTTTTCATTATACGTTATTAAAGTAATAAATAAATATAATTAAATAATTTTTTAAATCTCGATTAATTCATAAAAATATTAATTTCTAATCAAAAATTTAAATCCTTATTAAGTAAAAAAATAAATAAATAAATAATAATGATAATTTCGCTAAAACGTTGGCGCTGTCATCTGCAGTCAGCAACCGGAAAGATATAGGTTTGGATTTTCTGGTTGGGAGGATCTACTGTTTTAATATTAAAAATTTGCTCTCACAAAGAAAATGGTAAGTTGCTCTTTTATAATCTTAAAATACTTATGAAATACTTTATATTCGCGTAGATACTTTATGAAATTAATAATTGCTTATGTATTATTGCTACAGAGTGATAAGCTGCTATATTTATCTGGATTATTACCATCATTCTTGTTATTTTGAGAAATATAACTGTGATTTTATCATATAAAAATGCCCAGATTAATAATTAGTTCATCCAAAATGCTTTACACTTCTAATTACATTAATTATAAATACATAAAATTACCATTACATATTTACAATTCATGATTACACTTTAAGTTAAATATGACAGATAAACTGAGTTAAATGTGATTAAAGTGTGATTCAGTTAATTTATTTAAATCACAATCACAGAATATTATTATACATAACATTTGATTATCATTATGTATCCTGTTTACAGAAAATATTGTGATTAAAGCTAGTAAAATAATGTAGGAGTTACATATTTCAATAAAATTTATGTAAATAAAAAAAATTCAGAACTAGAAGAACGTATCGAAGATTTATAAAAATCTTCGATACGTTCTTCTAGTTTTATCTAGTTTTAAATAAAACTTAAAATCTAGTTTTAAATAAAACTTAATTTTTGAGTTTATATATTATTTCGTTCAGGCAGGAAATATATTTATTGTTGATATATTTAATGATAATTTCGTTAAAAACAATGGTAGTACCTCTGTTTCCTGTTTATTAACACCAATTTATGTATGTAAATATGTGTATATGTATGTCGTGTAAAACAGCTGAGATGTGTTTATATTATATGTAAATATATATAACTGGTGTGTTATATATTTGTATAAAATATGCATTTAGGAATTTAAATCTATTCGTATTTATAAAATAAAATTTTATCTGATCGTATATTTTCTGTAAATATAAGAATTGATCAAAAATCATTTATATATTTTTTTATTTTTTGAAGATTATTAAATTTATCATTTTCCTCTTGAAATTTATTGTTGTTGAAAGTTTTCCTTATTAAATTTAACAATATTAGAGCAAGCTTAATAAAAATCAAATTCAACATTATTGAAGGATGAAAGAAGGAAGATTTGTAGTTTACAGTAAGGAAGGAAGTTATTTTTAAAACATGGTCAATGAATTCAGTGTTATTGATTTTTCTTTTACATAATCAAAAATTGACTTGTACTTTCTTANAACGAGTAAAATCGTCATTAAGTCTGACCCCACTCGAGATATGACACACGAAGACCTTTATTTCTTCACTACCTCGACCTTTAACCACCAAAATTTAACTGCATCGATTCCCCTAATATACAAATCTCCCTATAAAATTTCAGAAAATTTCGACAAAAAGCATAGGAGTTATTAAGCTTCAAAGTACGTGAACAAAATCGTATCTCCCGCACACACTAACATCCATAAATACAGGAAAAAACTTCATTTTTTTTTTTTTGCATTTCTTAACGTTTTAAGGTCTCCTGAGTTCAAAAATGTAAACATTTTGCGTGGTTTTATAATTTTTAAAATACCATCTCCTCTGCTAATTTCTTTTGCCCATTTTTAAGTCACTTTGAAAGTCGTGAAAACTTTTTTGAAAATATTTGATCACAAAACTGTTACAAACAGTGTAAATTTAAATAGACAATTTTTTCCGTGTAAATTCCGCGTCTTTTCACTTATTCCATATCAAAATAATAGTACTTTGAATTGTCGCCACGTCTGGCCTTTAATGCCCTCTACCGGAAAATTTCATAAGCTTTTATTTGCAGGCCGGATAGTTATCGTAGGCCGCGATCAGGAGCATACGTGTCAACGTATAAAAATTTTGCATTTGAATCCCCCGAGCGACAGGCTGGCATCTTTATTGCCTGAAACATTTAAAATTACTCTCTTTAGCTAAAAAATTTTCTATTATTTATGTCTAAATCAACCGTTTTACTCCTAACACGCCCCCTCACCGCCGACGCCATTTTTGAACGTTGTGGATAACACATTTTTTTCATTATACGTTATTAAAGTAATAAATAAATATAATTAAATAATTTTTTAAATCTCGATTAATTCATAAAAATATTAATTTCTAATCAAAAATTTAAATCCTTATTAAGTAAAAAAAAATAAAAAAAATAAATAATAATGATAATTTCGCGAAAACGTTGGCGCTGTCATCTGCAGTCAGCAACCGGAAAGATATAGGTTTGGATTTTCTGGTTGGGAGGATCTACTGTTTTAATATTAAAAATTTGCTCTCACAAAGAAAATGGTAAGTTGCTGTTTTATAATCTTAAAATACTTATGAAATACTTTATATTCGCGTAGATACTTTATGAAATTAATAATTGCTTATGTATTATTGCTACAGAGTGATAATCTGCTATATTTATCTGGATTATTACCATCATTCTTGTTATTTTGAGAAATATAACTGTGATTTTATCTTATAAAAATGCCCAGATTAATAATTAGTTCATCCAAAATGCTTTACACTTCTAATTACATTAATTATAAATACATAAAATTACCATTACATATTTACAATTCATGATTACACTTTAAGTTAAATATGACAGATAAACTGAGTTAAATGTGATTAAAGTGTGATTCAGTTAATTTATTTAAATCACAATCACAGAATATTATTATACATAACATTTGATTATCATTATGTATCCTGTTTACAGAAAATATTGTGATTAAAGCTAGTAAAATAATGTAGGAGTTACATATTTCAATAAAATTTATGTAAATAAAAAAAATTCAGAACTAGAAGAACGTATCGAAGATTTATAAAAATCTTCGATACGTTCTTCTAGTTTTATCTAGTTTTAAATAAAACTTAAAATCTAGTTTTAAATAAAACTTAATTTTTGAGTTTATATATTATTTCGTTCAGGCAGGAAATATATTTATTGTTGATATATTTAATGATAATTTCGTTAAAAACAATGGTAGTACCTCTGTTTCCTGTTTATTAACACCAATTTATGTATGTAAATATGTGTATATGTATGTCGTGTAAAACAGCTGAGATGTGTTTATATTATATGTAAATATATATAACTGGTGTGTTATATATTTGTATAAAATATGCATTTAGGAATTTAAATCTATTCGTATTTATAAAATAAAATTTTATCTGATCGTATATTTTCTGTAAATATAAGAATTGATCAAAAATCATTTATATATTTTTTTATTTTTTGAAGATTATTAAATTTATCATTTTCCTCTTGAAATTTATTGTTGTTGAAAGTTTTCCTTATTAAATTTAACAATATTAGAGCAAGCTTAATAAAAATCAAATTCAACATTATTGAAGGATGAAAGAAGGAAGATTTGTAGTTTACAGTAAGGAAGGAAGTTATTTTTAAAACATGGTCAATGAATTCAGTGTTATTGATTTTTCTTTTACATAATCAAAAATTGACTTGTACTTTCTTAAAATTTAATATAAAAAATTTAAAATTTTCAATGCTATGTTAATTTGACTTTGAAAGATTTTTTATAGGTAAATATTTTGTTGATCTAGTTATTTTTTGATATTAATCGGCTTGTATAAACTTATTAATGCAGTAATTTTTTTCAATATTTAATTTTCATTTCTTAAATACATTATTTGATGCTTCACTGCTTTAAAAACATTAAATATATTTAACAAGAGTAATGATAATTTCTTCTATTTATAAAAGACAGACTTTTTTTTTTTTAACATTCCATATAAAATTATATAAGGTATGGTACGTAGCTTGTAGAATACAAAACATTATATTGTTTTTGATAAAAATTTTTAACATGAACAAGCATTTCTTTGTATTATGAATTTAATGGACTGATAGACCAAGATATACATTATATTAAAAAAACTCTCTTCTGTTTTTGTATGAATCATTTCTTAAAATAAATTGTTTTAAACAAAAAATCTGCCAGTTGAATTACTAATGATGATTAGTAAAATATTTTTATATGATAAATAATAAAATTATTTTATTAAATTTGCATGAAATGATCAGATACTTATTTATAAAACACTTATCTATATATAAAATAATTAGTCATCATCTTTAATTTAGTGTCATGAATTAAAGCATAATAATGTCTAAATTTATTAGATTATAGTTTAAAAATAACTTATGTAATTGTACATGCAATTAATAAAAATATTAAATTAAATTCAGACTTATAATAGTCCATCAAAATTTTATTTTAAAATTTTTTATAATTTTTATTTGATTTTTTTATAAAAATATTTTATTTAAATAGTTATATTCAATATATTCAATGAGAAATTTATAAGATAAGAAAAAATCATGTTAGATGAGTCATATTCAGTTAATGTTTTTAATATCTAATATAGGTGTGTATTGCAGTATAAATGAACTATGATCTTACTACTACAATACTGTTAGCTTATAAAACTGTTAATAAACAACATTAAAAATATATACTTAAATATATAAACTACATGTTCACACAAAAAAAAAGAAACTACAATACTGACATAAGTGTTTTAGCTCCAAATGCAATTTGATTCCTCTTCTTTCAATAATGTACTGAATGCTCTAACCAGATAAATTGAAGAATTCCATTAGAAGAAGGTTAAATACATTTTATTACAACACTTAGAGCATTTAGTGTATTACCAACAAACAGAATTTTAATTCTAGCAAAATCATATTTTAATCTGAGTTTTTATTTATTTTTTTAATTAATTTATTTATTTAATAATAGATTAATGTCATACTCCTAATTTTTCATAATCTACAGTCCACAATCATTGCTTATGTAGACACTATTAAAATTATTAATTCAGATTCACTAAAACTTCAAAACAATTTATTAAAATTATCCTCTTGGTTAGTGCTATTTAATTTCAAAATTAGTCTGTCTAAAACTATAGCTATGTTCTATTCTTTACTTAGGAATGTAGTGTGTGTTTCATTTATAATTATTAGAATTATAATAGATTATTTACATTCAATAAGAAATTTACTTGTCATATAATTAATTTGACAAGAAATCAATTTTTTGCCCTTCAAATTGATAAAATTGTTAAAAATATTGTTATTTTGTGGAGTATACAGTACTGTAGAGACTATCATTTTATTTCATCAAAGCTCCATATTGAGAATTTTATTCTTTACAAACTTTCAAATAGTTGTGGTCTGTACTATGACATAAAACCTCATTTTTACTAGAAAAAGTGATCTCTGAACTTAATAAAGTTTAAATAAACACTTTATGATCTGTTTATTTAATAAAAGTGTATTTTCCTTTTTACAGATATTTTTGCCATTTTCCAACTCCAATCTCCAATATAATAAATCCAGACTGGATTTCCCATCTTTTAATCACTGTACTTTTTAATTTTTTTTTTAAATTTTGATCTTATTTCATTTTAGATATTTTAATGGTTTGCTATCCCCTGATAATATATTTACAGATAACCCTTGCAGCAATTCATGCATATCATTTTTGATATTTCAATTAAACATTTCAAGACACTTTTTATTTTATGTCTGTTTATGCTCTGTAGGAGAGAGAATATTTACTTTTTACTGATACTAAGATTTTTAAGAAAGAGGATTAAAAATTTCTTTATTTTGTATAATTTTATTTACTATTTGTAGTAGCTTTTTACAATCTTACAAATATATCTTGTTCTTGAAAACATCTTGTAAATTGAGTGAGATTTTTCATTATTTTTTATGGCCAAAATTTCTACTTTATTCTGACATAACCTAGTCACTTACCCATGATCTACAAATAATGTTAAAGTACTACTTAATACCTATTCACATATCAATCAATGGTTTTAATTGAGTACATTAAAGTAAATGAAAGTGTTAGATTATTTTAATAAGTTGTTAGATTATTTACTAATATAAAAGAAGCTAATTTGAAATAAGGGAAGCAAACATATAAGTTATCATACATTTCTTTATTTAATGGTAAGAAAACAAAAGTAAATTGAGATGTTAAGTAAGCAGAAAACAAGTAAAATAGAGTAAAACAAAATTGTTTTTTAATTAATGAAATGGTAATTACCAATAGAAGGATTTATAATATAAATTTCATTAAACCAGCTGCGTTGAAACAAATAGCTTACTCTTAGCAAATGAAGACATAACATGAATGAACAAAAAACTGATTGGTACTTTTGAACCATTTAGTGGTACTGCAGAAGAGTTTTAATCTTCTTTCACTCGTGGTTGGAACGTTTTGTTAACATAAAATAATTCCATAACTATGAAAAATCATACATTTGTGACACCTTTCTTCTTAGGCATCTGGTAAAACCAGAGATTAAAACCTCCAACTCCAGCAGGTGCATTTAGACACCTGCTGGAGGCTGAAATTGTAATTTTTATTGTGTGGATGTGTGATTTTTATTGTTATAAAATTACTTCATCAAATAGAAAATGTGTTTTTAAGAGAATTTTAAAATGTAAATTTATTAAGTTAATATAAATAATAATTTAAAATGATAAATATATTGATACAGGTATCTCTCATATAACATGATTTTACTCTATTATGGTTTGAAAATTGGGGTTATGCCCGTACAACATGACTTCTGGTTTCACTCTAACGTGGTTTTGGAAATCCTCCATACAAAATTTCATAACTTTTAATTGTAAACTTTGTTATTCAATATTTGTTTTTTATTCAAGTAAGCATGCATGTTGTCTCAAATTTGCCCATGGATTTTAGAATGTTAAAATTTTTAAATTATTTTATGCTTTTCATCAGGTTTACTTTAATGAAAACTGATAGGACAAGGAAGAAAAAACTTGCATCAACTTTCCTATCAACCAGATGTTGTTGTCATTGCTTTTTAGACTTTAGTCCTTAAGATTGTCATTGTGTTTTCTTTTTATAGATTAATCTTCATATTTAATAAAGTTTATTTAAACATTTTTAGGTTAAGTGTTAAACTTTTTTTTTAATCATAGGTATTACTTACCTATGATGATTACTTCATTCATAAAAATGACAAACTAAATACAGTGGTATCTCAGTACTTGAACACAAATTCTGGGGAAAAGTTGCTCAGTACTTGACTGAAGAAATGCAATCCTCTAGAACAAATGTTCAATAACATGTTTTTATTTCGTCATCCATAAAAAATTTTTATGATGAAAATGTTGCCGATACTTCTGATCAAGATCAACAAAAAAGCTGAGATGACAATGATACTTTGTAAAAAGAAAATGCCTTTGTTTAACTAAAATTAATATTAACATGTAATTGTGACCTTTCGTA